GGATGATCTAGAGTTTCCCATTTAAAAGATTTGATGAGATCTTTGGTCCGATTAGCCACATGTGGACGGGCATTGTCATGCAGCAAAACAATACCCTTACTCAACTTGCCACGTCTTTTGCTTTGGATTGCACGGCGCAGATTGTTCAATGTCTCATAATAAGATGCTGCATTAATTGTCTCATTACGAGGCAGAAACTCCACTAGCAATACTCTTTTTCTGTCCCAAAAACTGTGCACATGATTTTCCGGGCAGAAATTGTTTGCTTAAACTTCACTGTTTTGGGTGATGATGAATGTCGCCATTCCATGGACTGTTGTTTCGATTCTGGTGTGACGTAGGCCACCCATGTTTCGTCACCAGTAACAATTTTGTCTAAAAAATCTTCACCTTCATTGTGGTACTGCTCAAGGAAAGTCAATGCACTGCCTAAACGTTGGGTTTTGTGCAAATCCGTCAACATTTTCGGAACCCAACGTGAACACAATTTCCGGTAATTCAAGTTCTCGGTCACAATGCGATACAAAACACTACGAGAACATTGAGGAAAGTAGTCGCACAATGATGAAATTGTAAAGCGTCTGTTTTCTTTCACCTTTTCGTCCACTTTCTGCACCAAATCTTCATTAACGACCGAAGGACGCCCACTCCGTTCTTCATCATGCACATTTGTGCGGCCATCTTTAAATGCTCTCACCCATTTCCTTACCATTCCATCACTCATAATGTTTTGTCCGTAAACTTCACAGATCTCACGATGAATATCGATCGGTTTTACGCCTTTAGCACTAAGAAATCGTATGACAGCCCGTACTTCACAATCGGCGGGGCTCACGATTGTCGGAGGCATCTTAAACACTCAATAAGCAATGTATACAATGAAGAATCAGACTGTACTGGCGTCTGTGCATAGACAAGAGATGTAGGTAACCAGCGCGCATGCGCGGAACGCCGACCGTAGCGCTGCGGCGGCGGAATCGCAAAACGGTACTTACTTAAAAAACATGCCTCGTATTTGTAGCAAAATTAACACTTTTTTCTGTAAATTTGCACTGTTTCTGTATTTCTACCTCAGTGGCAACACTCTTAACAAAAATACACAGTTTCTAAAAAACATCCAAACACACCAAGCAGACATTTTTCTCTTTCTCAAATAGTAGTTTTATCTAAATAAAAAAGTTAGCCGGTATAGCCAAAGTATCTTAAATAATATTGGTTTATTGATATTGACAGTTTAGATTCAATATTAAGTTGAAGAATTGAAATGTTTGTACGGTGAGATGTGTATAGTATTCGCTGAAATCGTCTATATAACACTACATTGCCAACTTCAACGTCCATGTCTCCCAAGGTATAAGTCCCAACAGGGAAAATTAGGGCTCTGATTAGTCTTAGTTTGCTGCTAAGTGAAATGGCCGAATCTTTCCATATTTTACTAGGTTTGGTCATGGAATTGCGTGCGAAATGATTCTACATAAATTTTTTCGATAAATATAAAAAGTTAGGTAAAGAATAATATTTTTACCTCAGATTTGTTAGATATTTTTGGACAAGTACTGTATGCTTTTTCTTTGATTTTTTTTAATATGCAAAATGCATGATATATGTAGTTTTTAATGGTCATACTTTGTCAAGTCATTAAAAAACGTCTAGGATACTCCGTATAAGTAAAATGAAAATCAATAAATCAAATGGATTGTAACTAAGTAAAGTTGACAACCCTTCATTTGACCATTTAACTTTTTTTCACTGCGGCCTCGCACGGGTCAATAAATGTAAATAAAGCTGTCCCTTTTAAGTAACCCCACCTGACCGCCTGCCGTGGACGTCAATTTGCATAATACGACCCTAAAAGGGCTGGGAATATTATATTCCGTACCTACGTCCAGTATTTTTTTATTTTCTCCTTTTTAACATAATTCCATTTTATATTCTCCTGTGTCGTTTATTCGGGTGTTGGTTACTTTGGAACGGAGAACACAGTCTCATTAAGGATGTGATTATCTACATCTTTTATCTGAAAACTTTTTGTCTAAAACAGATTAAATGGAATTAGGGACCATTTTTAAAATAGGCGAAATTTTTTTTTTTCGAAATATCTAGTAAGCCATGAACTTTTTCGAAAATCTGAAAGGCGCATATTTATGACCCCATAAAACTGCAATTCGTTCCCCATTTAACCGACTCTCTATCTCCAGGAGTTTCCGAGATACCCATAGAGAACATCGTAGAAAACTCACTCTGTATGTTATATAAAATATACAACAAAAATAAATCTGAAAAAGTAAATTAAATGGTGAATTAATGAGAAGGTGAATTCGTGACGAGATAGTACCATAACGGATTAGATGCTATCTTTCATGTCAAAAATTACGCAGGGATGGAATTGGATTAAAGATTTTTTTGTACTTTGAAGCGACAGATGATTGATGGACTGGAAGCGGGCCGATTGCCGATTTTTTTTGTTCCGGAAAAAAACGGGATAAAAAATCGGAAATTTAATTAATCGATTGGATCCGAGTTGATAGGTTGATAGAAACTGGCAGCAGATCTGGAAAACTGGGTTATCGGGTTAAAACATTTTCTGGATTTTCTTTATTTTTTTTGAAAGCCAAATAAGGTAGGTACTTAATTATGAAAGAAGAAAGAAGGAAATATGATATTAATATATTTAAATTTTGAAGAGATACTCAGATAGGGTAAACCTTAGATTGTTGTTTCTGTACCAATAATTTACGTCAGTTTTTAGCTATAATAATTCAATTCAATTGGATAACACCACAATTGTTTATTATATCCAAGTTAATGCCTTGAAGTTTTTGCATTGTTTTTTTTTTAATTTCATCTTACATAATTTTTTTTTTTGGAAAATCTGTTCTTGGACGTTAGGAGACTATTTTTTTTAAGTAAGGGGGAGGGGGCAAAAACTGTGTAAGATGGAATGTATAAAGTGCATGATTTGTGGAATTAAAAAAATATATATATATACATTTAATATTATATACTTACATGTGTCATCTAACTTCTATTTTCAGGGTGAAGTCCAATATCCTCTTGTTTAGCAAAGATATGAAAAAATGTTTAATATTATATTGTTAAAACTGCAGATAAAAACGCAAATTCTGTGCACACTCTATAAATACCAGAAGATACAAGTTTGGAGAATTTCACAATTTCAATCTATAATTATGGTTTTATTTGTTTTGACCCACAAGGCAGGTATAATAAATATTTCACCTATTAAATTATCGGTATCCATGTCCATCACCCTTGATATAAAAGCAAAGAAAATAGCCAAAACAATTAGCGCTGCTCTCCGACGCTTTGCTCCAATATAAACACCTACATATAAATTAATATAATAATATTCTTTGCTTCGCTACTGTCGCTGCTCTTATCGTTTATCGCCTCTCCAACATAAACGCACCCTAACATGCTTATTCTTTTTTTCCAAAACATAGCCCATTTAAAACTTCTCACATTTAACGGTTTCACTAATTTTTTTCTCTGCAACATCCTGGCAGGGGTCAATAAATGTAAATAAATCTGTCCCTTTTAAATTTTTCTACCTGGCCGCCTGCCGGGAACTCAATTTACATAATACGGTCCCGAAAGGGCTCGGAAAAGGATATTCTATACCACGCCCATTAACTTTTTATTTTGGCCCGTTGACAGATTTCTGTTTTCATCTTTCTGTGTCGCTCGTTCTGGCGGCGAAGACTGAGACAAAACGATTAGATGGTATCTGGCGTTATAAATTGCGAAAGGTGACGATACGACGCCAGGCAATTGATTACAGGATTCGTTTTTTTCTGTATCGAAGCGACGAATGATTGATAGATTAGAAACGGAGATTGGTCGGGTTTTTTATTCCGGAATGTATGGCAGATAAAATCGGGAATTTAATCAATCGATTAGATCAGGTGATGATGGAGAATAGAGAAAAGCTATATAGAACTTCTAGAGAGTATCTGCGTTATCATGAAAATTTTCTTTATATGTTAAAATTTACATTGCAATAATTAGGAACTGTGTAGTATCACTAGCTGGATACATACCTGTTGAAGCTCTTTACCAACTTTTGACGGGAGATGCGTTAATATCTCACCGACGCACGACGCAACACTTTACGAGTTTTGCTTGCCGTATCGGTGAGAACCAGCCCCTGGATAGCCCACCTGATGAAGGGTAGGCTCAGAAACCGGTTGTGGGCGTGGAGCTTGGTTCCCCCCTCTACGACAAGCAAAGCAATTTTCTTTTTACTTTCTATTATTTTTTTCTCTACTTTCGATTTTTCGAAATTAATTCATCGTCTTGAACTTTAGACATATCGACAAGTACTTTTGCAGCAGGATTATCTATACCGATAGACTTTAATATAGTTGCTCCATCGTTTGTTACTTCTACAGAACCGGCATTACGACCGCTGGATACCAAAATTTTATCTGTACCTAATTAGTATGACTATAAAATAAAATCTGGCAAAAGTAGTAAACAAACCTACCTTTAGGTACCAAAGTGCTGTTAACTAAATCCACAATTGCAATGGCTCCTACAAAACTGCTCAACCAAGCAATTTCCGCCTTTTCTTCTTCGGCATTTTCTCTTAAAATTCGCACTGCATTAAGTGAAACCTAAGAAAAAAAAGATACTATACAAAGGCCTACCCCACAAACTTGAAGGTTGATGTTTTCAAATATTTTATCAACTAATGAAGAAGCATACCCAGAAGTAATTTCTTTCTATTTCATATCTTTTGTTGGCAAGTGGAAAACTAAGTAATCTATTAATTAAGAAATTTAAACTAGCCATCTTATGTTCAACACTATGACACAACTCACATTTGTAAACAACTATGCAAAATAATTAGTAGATATACAATTTAGGTTGGATGGAAACTTTGATACTACAACTAAAACATACGGTAATAATAAACCAAATTTTATACTTTGATATTAACTTCGCAAATTTTATATTACATATTCTTCTTTCTATTTCAGATCACCTTAACACACCGCCAATGCCTTACGACACCACCAGCTGAAACCGCGATTATCCACCCCACCACCACGATGGACCTCAGGCACATCTCCATTCTGCTGGTCCTAGCCACCCTCGGGGCCGCTAGCCCTGAAACGGTCTCGGTTATACCCCACGACGCTCATCCCGGCTACAGCGTCAAGAAATTCAACGAACACTTCTCCTTAGTCAATTCCAGCTTCAGTCAGTTCTTCACCATGCTCCAGGACGGCTCCATAATGACAGTCAGCGACGTCAGTCCTTTGGTAGATCGCCCGGTCGATCTGTTCGTCATGGAAAACGATGGTAACACCACCAAACAGCATCTTTTACAATTGTACGTGCTGGACAGGCGAAATATGCTGAGTTTTAAGCATGATGACGAAGACATCGTTGGTAGGGTTGCTGAAAATCAACCTACAGGGACTAGAGTTGCGGGTCTGTCACTACTCCAAGCTTCTGCCTGTGTAAACATTCCGGTCATGTACAGTATAATAGCTGGAAACACTGGTCAGGCTTTCGAACTGAGAAACAGTGTGACTGGTGATACTTCGCCTAACGTGACAGTTGACGATTCCGGAGGGGTTTACGTAGTTACCGCTCAAGTTTTAGACAGGGAAGAAGTAAGTAGGTACGTGCTTACCATCCAGGCCAGTGATTGCAGTGGAATCAACAAAGCCGTTACAAACATTGTAATAGAAGTTGAAGACGAGAACGATAACAGTCCAGTGTTCTCGCAGAAAGTGTACACGTTTGTCGTGGGAGATAATTCTTTGGAAGGTGATAACGTCACGATGGCGTGGAAGAGGTTCTCTTCGATAGGGAAAGTGGAAGCAACTGATGCCGATGGTGATAAAGTAGCGTACAAATTGGTTACACCTACTAGTTTTCTGGTGATTGTGCCGCAAACTGGTGATTTGCTCCTGGCACTTGAACCGATAGAGGAAGTTGAATTGGAGCTTGTCGTTGAGGCGCATGATTTGCGTATTCCTAGTAGAACTTCACCGAGACCTGCTCAAGTTATCTTTCATTTTAAGCCGCCAGAGGAGTCGACTGCTTTTGATCTACAATCTCTCCAAGAAGGTAAATTAATACATATTTTTACGAGTTACTAATACTACTGGTAAAAAACCACTCACAAGCTGGTTTTTCTTTGAATTCAATGAAGTGGTGTTTACAAAAAATAACTTTTTACTTTGAAAATTTTATTTCCAATGTACTTGAAAATTTTATTTCCAAATGATTAATACGTATCATTCTAAATATGTTTTTGCTATTGAGAAACCAGTAATAGTTTTTTAGATTATAGAGTGGTATTTTTCTCTGATGGATGTTCTTCTATGTTTGTAGATGGTGAGATTCTGCACAGAGAAAAACGTAGAGTGACGCGTGCTGTTCGACCAACAAAACGCATTGAATTCACCGAAACCGATGGAGAAATAGAGGGAAGAGTAGTTTTCCAATTGGAGAAGGAAACGGACAAGGAAACCTTCAAAATTCGCGATGAAAACAGTTGGGTGATCGTCGAACCCAATGGTTCTGTGAAAGTGAGGAAGAAGTGGGACTATGAAGAACTTGGACCTGAGAAGACCATCGATTTTTGGGTGACTATTACCAACGCCGAGAAAGGAGGTAAGTGTTTTTAATATTTTATATAGTGTTGTTTTATTTTTAAGTGCGTGCACACAATTATTTTTTGGGTGAAATATCATACTGGAGATAATAAATATATGCTGATTATTAGTACCAATTCTGTGATGATTCTTTTACGACATAATTATATAAATAATCAACAATATTTTATATAATCTATAGATAAGAAAGTTACTAGAACAAGTGTTCTAATTATAAACACACACCCAATTTATTACTTGGGCTCATTTTGGAATGTCAGTAATAGATTAAAATTGGAAAATACAGTATATTTTCAGATGGTTACTAGTCAGTCTAGTCATATTTCTTAAGAATTTTGGCATTTATTATAATGGTAAGCTAGTAGAAGATGAATATAAAGACAAATTTCGGTGTGTAGTAGAATATTTTAGGGATGATCACAAGTTTTACTCTTTTTATGATACTCAAAATCAAGATCTATATATTTAATAAAAACTTATTATTCATTTTTAAAACTTTATTTCAGAACCTTTATTAAAATGCAATGTTTGCGTGTAATAATCTGAAGTGGGGTTTTTATTTATTTCTTCAAATAAAAAATACTTAAAGTAATGCTGCTGCATACTTTACTGAAATATAATAATATACAGGGTGTTTCAAAAACATGTGCCATCTCTCGTGGGGATATTCCTCGTAGATTTGTTTCGTAGCTACAAGGGGTTAAAGTTCTTTTTTTTTTCGATTTATTATAATTTTCTTTTAGAAATTTATTTTGTGCTGAAATTTTGAGGGTAAAAGTTACTGAAGTGCTACATATTTTAATACTTACTAAAAAAGTGTCGATAGATTCATCAGGAACGTACATATGGGTTATCACTGAAATATTTTTCTAAAAAAAACATGCGGCGCTACTGACTTTTTCTCTTTTCCGCAAAATTGTCTAGGTCATTTAATGCGGATTAAAAGTTCTATCTTGATTCTTGATATTTTATCGATTTCGATCTCCTTGTTTATTGTTTAGATAAAGGCACTTTTATTAATCACAATTAATAAAGTTTAAATAAAAGTTTATAGGAAATTTTTTTCGTATTTTTAATGAGGAATCAATGAGTACTTATTCAACACTATGACCGGTTAATGATATCAACATTTTTTAAAGGTTACTATTAGACTTGGATTAAGGCAAATTAATAAAACTAGCTTTTTCCCGCGACTACGTTCGCGTTACACCTCGAATCGTTCATGCATTGATTTAAATGATTGTTTACTTCTGTATAGATAATAGGTGAGCTACTATGTTTTTAAGAGTTTTAGAGCTAATCGTATTTCATATTATGAAAGTTAGCAATTATTGTCGATTTTCTGGGTATTATACAGAGCGAATCTTGAATAAGAGCAAATATTTTTAGGGGTGTTTTTTTTTGGAAAAACATTCCAGTGATAACCAATATGCACCTCCCTGGTGAATCTGTCGACACTTTTTTAGTACTAAAATATGTAACACTTATAGTAACTTTTACTGTCAAAATTTTATTTGAATCGCTAAAAGCACTTGGCAGAAATAAATCTTAGTTTTACGTGAGGAATCTCCCAACGAGAGATGGTAGATGTTTTCTAAAACACCCTGTATACCCCACACTCATACAGGAGGCGAAAAAAATAATGAAGTCTATTGATGCATTTAATTTTTTTTGTGCCAATTTCATAAATCTTATATCACGAAAAGTTTTATAGCGTAAAAAATTGGATTTAAAATGTTATTGATGTATACTTCTCAATTATAAGCTTCGTTTGTTATGCCGAAACTCGGGAGATGAAAATTTCCGAGAAGTAAATAAGAGGCAGTTATCGGTGAAATTTTTACCAATAATATTTGATCTTGGCGGTTCTCTTTCCAATAGTTTTCCGATTCCGCTCTTAAATCTAATAAAGAAGTTCGCTATTGGTCTTTGGATTTATATCTGCGCAGTTTTCCGGCAATTTTAAACTTGCGATTGGATTTTCGGATGCTGCCGCTGGAGCTTTAATTATTTTTTGATTGGGAAAGTTCGAGGAGATTGTTGTGATTTGGTCGGGGCCGTCGTTAGCCTCGACGACATCTTCGTAATTTTCTTTTGTCGCTTTTTGATTACTTTTTTGTTCGCGGGTTCTAATCACCTGTCAGTAACATTTTTACTGCTCTGTACCAGATACAATGTAACAGCGTTTTTTTATTGTTATAATGGATCTGATCTGCCTGAAGTTTTTTAGCGATTCTTATGAAACTTTTCACAGACATTGAGATTCTGTGGTAATACATTATGATGATTTCAAGCATCTGTTTGTTTAAATTCATTTTATGTTTAAATTCTTGTTTAAATATACCGGGTGTTTTTCAATAGAGGCTCATATCTATAATTTTTATTTTTTTATATAAAAAAACGAGATTTGGTTAGTTAGTATATTCCAAGTGGTAACCAACTCAAGGCGGAACTCAAGAACTTGGAAGATTCCATCCGCAACCTGGAATGGAAATCTTGCAATGGTCTAAGACACTCGAAGAAGTTTCTGAGGGCTTATGATCAAGAAAAATCACAGATCTTCCTGGGTCTGAGTAAGAACAATCTTCGGATTGTCACGGGGTTTTTAACAGGACACTGTCCCCTCAATGAACACCTCAGTAGATTGAAAGGGGGAGATGGTGAAACACCAGTACACCTCATCACTGAGTGCGCCGAGACGACAACCATTCGTGCCATGAATTTTGGTACGACTGATATTGGAGATGGAGAACTACCCTCTATAAAACCGTCCCAGATACTGGCTTTTGTCAAAGCCCTGGGACTGTATGATGAGTTATGATTCAAGAAAGGGGGACACAATGGATCTGTAAGGTCGAAGTGATTAACCCCCCTCCCACTCATTCTAAATTCTAAAAAAATTCTAGTTAGCATATGACATAAATGATGATTAACTGACGTATTGAATCAGTTTCGGTCAGTTCCTGTTTCACTGGAAATTACTACAAATTTTGATTGTTAAATGGTGTTTTTATATTTGATAGAAAATGACATTCTGAATAAAATGACATATTATATAACTTTTGACATTTTCGCTTAAAAAAGATAGTATTTTAAATTTCAATCTAGAGTGCCATAGCTTTGTTATAACCATACTGTTTGATTGTCTATTGTTTTTTCTGTTTTTTTTTCTGCCGGTTAAATGATGTCCATATATTGTATCATATTTTTAATCATAACTAATTTGATTTTTTTCAAATGAAACGAGGGTGGCTCAGTAGCATATTTGGAAAAAGAATTTTTTTACGAATACTTTACCAACCGTCCTCTATTCCAGAGGACAGTCCTCTTTTGATCTCACTGTCCTCTTTTCTCTCACGTATTGAAAAAATCCTCTTTTTTACATACCAAACTTAAAATATAAAAAAAAATTCATCTATCGCCACAATGCTTTAAAAAATTGTTAATCTGTGTCTTTCGCTACTCCCACTCGTGTGTACAGAAAAGAAGATGTACAAAAAATATTTTTCGAAGTGATAAACATTTTTAACTCTTTTATGTTCACTTACTCGCTTATGGTTTTTTTCCATAACAAGGGGCCGTCCTCTGCCGGAAACACTGCGACCTGTGAGGCCTATTGTGTTTGTCCCCCGTCTATATCTGCACCCATTCTCCTATCCCTTTGCCCTGCACTAGCTTATGCAGGTTCTTGATAGGATGGGCGCATAGTTTCTCCGGTTCTAGCCTAGCCTTCCCAAATAAAAAGTGTCGCGTGCGATCCAGAACCTCGCAATGACATATTATGTGCTCCGCTGTTTCAGGATCTTTATCGCAGAGTCTGCAGCAGACTTCCTTGATACAGGTTAAGCTTGTCCAGGTAACATTTGACAGCCATGTGTCCTGTCAAGAGGCCTGTTGTAATCCGCACTTTATTCCTGCGAAGCATTGGCAGTTCTTTTGCGGTTTTAGAGCTAGGTCCTTGGATAAAAGCCTTGCTGTGCCTGTGCCCCTGTCTGTTTCTCCAATGGACATTGTGCTTTTCCTGGATCCAGAGTTTTAGTGCACTACGGGCCATACATTTAGGTATTCCCAGTACTAACTCTGGACCAAGATAGGATGCCGATGATCTGTGCCTAGCTAGCTCATCGGCCTTGGATGCCGCCCTTGATGGCCCGGCACCCAGAATGTTTGCGCTGTTGCCCGACACCCCGCTTATGTTTTGAAAAAAATTTTTTTTTGAAAGTATAAAAGACTATCAATCGCATACCGCTGACATAACTTTTTCGTAAATTCTAGTTATTTGGGCGAGGTTTCAAAAAATGTTGCCTCTTTTTGCCTGTGCCTCTTTTATACCCTCTCGTACTTTATTTTTTATTTTGAAAGTTAGCAGCCCTAGAATACTTTGGTACCATAGACTTGGTACTTCCAGTCAAATTGTCGTTATATTTATTCCTGTGGCACTCTGGATTGAAATTTAAAATACTATTTTTTTAAGTAGTATTTTAAAATGTCAAAAGTTGACAAGTGATAATATGTCATTTTATTCAGAATATTATTTTCTATCAAATATCTAAGCAAAAAAATTCACAGGGTACCATTTCAAAATCAAATTAGTAGTCAATGACCGAAAACAATTCATTACGTCAATCAATAATTTTAATTTATGTCACATACTAATCTACCAAATTTCGTTTTTTATTTAAAAAATAAATAAAAAGTTATGGGTCATGCGGGTGAGACACTTTTGAAAAACTGTATAATTTGTTAAATTTGCATCTTTTAACAATTTCTACTAAACAAATTCTGATGAAACTTTCCATCCTTGATAACACATTAAAATGATTTCCAAGTATTGACATCCTTTTTTAAGCCCAATCTATTTTAAATATATCTAGAGGTTGTCATAAGTTTTTTCTGTGTCTTGAGTTCATGCAAAAATTCCATAAAAAAATAGTTTTCCTGATTTTTTTTATTTTTCTAGGGAACTTTCCAATTCTTTAAGGTAATTTTTTTAGGAAA